CTTGTTCTGGGCGTCCTTATGACAAGGATGCAACTATTTAGGGTACTGTATTATATAGGGTCCCGTATTTTCGGAAACTCCAGTATTTAGATCCCTTATAGTAGCCTCTACAGTCCCCTGTAAAGCAAACCTATTCTAATTGAGCAATTTTCGTAAGCTCTACACCCTAAACCGTTTATAGAACCCTTATAGATCCCTTTAAAGGAACCCCTTAGTTTCGGAAACTCCCAAGAGGAACTTGGCCTTGATCCTCGAGAGCGCGGGCCAGCCTTCGGCCTCGGGTCTCGGCGTCGCACTCTTTGCGCTCACCTCGTCGCTGCGGCCCGGCCTCTGTTCTGGTAGCGGCTTCGGGCTTGGGTCTTTCGAAAGCAAAGAGTTTAAAGGTTAGGTATTGGGGATATCCTATAACCCCGTATATGTTAGGGTTCATATAAGGAACCCTATTAAAGGCAGAAAGGTTTCTTAATCAGGTTGCTACATTAGGGGCTTGGGCCTTAGGGCTTAAGGGGGGGCTTTAGGGGGTTTAGTTGGGGTTTAGGTTAGGATGTACGAGGCGTTCTCGAGTTTATCGATGCCTCTTGACAGCCAGGAAGATGGTCATGTTGATGTGTCAGGCAGGTGGATGGGCGGCCAGGTCAGATCAACAGATACAACTACTTGGTCACAGTTGTCATAGCCCGTCATCCTGCTCTGCTCACTTCATAGCGCGGTTCCATTCTCTGTCAAATTCTTGTCTGGCTATAGGATCCCTAGGACTATTTCCAGAAAATCTGGGGGCCTTCTACAGACCCGGAGTTCACTCAAAGAGATGTGCGACGAGAGTTCGGACATCGGCTTCGTGCGCATTTGCTGCCCGAGTCCGTGCTTTCGGAAGCCCAGAAAGGCCCAACGATCCCAGAACACTCAGACGGAGAGAAAGCAGAATCGTTTCGACTCTTTCTCCGAGGCCGTCAGCATGTAACTCGGAAATGGCGCCGGGGATGGGTTTAGGGATCAGGGTTTAGGCATCACAGAGAACCCTTGCCGGTGATGTCTTTTGCATGCTCCGACTTCTGTCCGAGTTCCCGGGTCGTCGTCGGCATCTTGAGCGACAAGTACAACGCCCCATGACTGCCAAGCTGAGTGATTCTGTTATGAGGGTAGTTTTCGAAGGTAAGGTAGCTTTCTAGACCCCCAACAAATACTACGGCACCCTCATCAAACAAAAAGATCCTAAAAGGGACCGGCACCCTTATAAAATGGAGAGGATCCTAAAAGGGACCCTGATTTAGAGAACTACCTCTATGTCACATAGGTTTAGGGTTTAGGGTACAAGGACTTATGTCTGTGATATTGCCGTTTGGAGAAGAGGGCTCGAGATTGGCAGAGCCGCAAGGCGAGAGCATCCGCTTGCTACACACAAATCACAAAATAGCATAATATAGTCAAGATTAGCCCAGTACAGTATAACATATGTTTTAAGCTAATGCAGTACAATATAGATCTAACATAATTCCGATGCCAGCCTGCAAATAAGCAAAAAGCAAGTCTCAGGGGAAAGGAGACCTGTGTTCAAACTGGGTATCTGTGCCTTGAATTTTTATAACATCGAGAGAACGCTGTGAAGCTTAGCCTCGGGGAAGATCACTTCGGAGTCAGTTTTTTTATCGGGACCTACGGTTGATGATATAAACCCTACATTACCTCAAGGACCCCAGACTTTGGGATGTCTGGTACATTCCTATCATGGGTAGTGCAGGATTAGTATCATCAAGCGCAAGTCTAGGCTTTAGGGGTTAGCAGTTTAGGGTTTAGGGTTCTAGATGTCTATATCCGACGCCGACACCCATGCATCTACGTCATCCACGGCTATAGAGCAAAGCTGCACCCCGGCATGCACTTGCTTGGAAGCTCCAAATCCCTGAAAAGAAGAGCTCCGAGAGCTTCAGGCCTCAAAGTGTCTTGGAGGTTCATTGGTAGTTATAAGTAGGGTAACAACACTTATTACTCATTTGGGTGGTTGTCAAAATCAGAGTCCCTTTTTGGATCGCTATTATAATACGGCACCTAGTATTTAGGGTACCCAGCAGAAAGGGACCTTAATTTTGACAACTACTCATTTTGGGGGACTTATAGCCGTACTTATGATTACCCATGAACCCTAAACCCCATACCCTTATAGAATCCCTATAGATCCCTTTAAAGGAACCCTTATAACTACCCATGAACCTCAAAGCTTGCTTTCCGGTGGGTAGTAGGGAATGGAGGAATGGGGTACCATTATAACTACTATTACTACCATTCTTCCATTCCCTACTCTCCAGGGCTTCGTGGTTTTCAGCTCAAGAGCAAAAGCTGTAGCCCTCGAAGGAACGTCTTGCACCCTGAGCTCCCATCCTCAATTCTTAAGCGCCGGCTTCAGGAATACTTCAGCCGCTTCAGCTGGCTCACAACCTCCTCCGCCTTCGCGGCTTTGGGCTTATTCTTGGTCACTCAGAGAGGAAAAGCTTCAGGATTTAGGGGGTATGGCTGCTATGACAGGTGGGGTCTTCAGGGCTTCGGGCTGTTGGGAGGTGCGGGGGTATTAGGCCCTGAACCCTAAACCCGCCTCAACCCTTCCCCTAACTTTTTCGTCGTCTGCTTACCGGCCACATGCATCAGAGTGCCGACTTATAGGCACCCCCGGTTGCGGGTTTAGAGTTCAGGGTTCAGGGTTTGGTTGTGGCCGGAAGAGAGCCTGGACTCTAAGCCCCAGAACCCCAAGCCTCATACAAGCTAAGTCCGGACCTGCACGGCCTTAAACCCCCAACCTTAATCTATGCTCAGCCTAGGTCCTCACGTGCACCTCTTGACCCTATGGGTCCATGCTAACGGTTTTGGTTAGGGGTGAAGGCTCATGTTTGGAGAAGGCACAAGTTGTTTTTGTGTGTGGTTTCACGTAGATTTTATATCGATGCCCACGCTGCTGAGACTTCGGGCATGGCGAAGATGCGAAGCAGGTTCTTACAGCCGGCCTTGGGAGGGACTTAAAATTTCAAAAGAAAGCTTTCCAACCCGTCGGTTGTCAATCCTTCGCTGAATCCGAGAGCTCCAACAGGTGAGCTTCATGGACCTTAGCAGCATCTTGCTCGGCACGCTGCTGATGGGCCTGTCCTTCGGAAGCTTCTACACGGTGGTGGTACCAGCCGCTGGGCTCAAGCTTGCTGCACTTGGCTTTGTTCTTGCAATTTGGGAGGGAAGTAATGTTCCCTAGTTATACGGTTCCTTGTTGAAGTTATCGTAAAATAACTATATACACCAAAAAGCCTTTTAGATATTAAGGCCCCTGATTACCAAGTCTTTGGTTTGTTTCACCGATCCACGAGGTGCATCTGAATGCGGGTGTTACTGAGCCAGCAAAAAAGCTTACTTTGACCTGCCAGAACCAATTTCTTGTAGCATCAATAGAAATTTTATATGAAGTTGCAAAAGATAAGATTTTACGGAACAGTAAGTATGTTTGTACTAAGGCCTGCATATGTTCGCCGATCGGCCCGATAACCATAGCACACAGGGGGTTGTTGGGTTATGGTTAGCTTTCGGCAAAGTAGTGGTGGCTCTCAGATAACAGGGTTTCAAGCCACTCCGGCTCTGATGACTGCAGACGCTGAAATGCCGTCACAAAGCCTGCAGGGCTGACAAATGCTTTGGTGGATAGAAAAATCCCGTTTGTTTAATATAGGGACCTAAACAATTACCAATACTATTTTGAGGGTTCCTTTTCATAATATATTTATAGTCTAACAGGCCCCAAAACCCTATTCAAATTATTCAGGCCCGTAAATTACAAGTTTCGGATGGAGGTTGCTCGGCGACGTTGAAATTTTCAAAACTTTGTCTCAAAAGGCTCGTGTTCGTCCAGAATCGGTTTCCTCCTGCCTCCTACAAAGCTCAATATAAATATGATGTCGATTCCGCTTGCCTGTTTTTCGTTCTTGAGCCTTATGAGCAGCATGAAGGACATGTCGTAAGTCGTCAGGAACCGGTCTACCATCGGATGTGCGGACACCGCAAGAGCAAAGGCTCTCATAATTTTTTTCTCAACTCCCATGAAGCCGGAGCTCGTAGGGATGTGTTGAGCGTCCCTGGATAAAGCAACGCTTCAACCGAGAAGCTGTAAGATCCTTAGGGTTTAGGGTTTAGTGACAAGCAGTACCTACCCTCTACCTCTACGGTTTCAGTGTGTCTGATTCTCCCCAGAAGTGTAAACGCTCTGACGGTAGCTGCAGTCCTTGAACACCTACCCAACGGATGCCAAACGGTCCAATAGGTACTGTTATGGGGTGTACATTCCCAAAGCATTATAGTACGGTTGATGATATAAATCCTGCATTACTCTTAATAAGGAATCTACCATAATTCCCATAGTTTAGGGTCCTTAAGGTAATGCAGGATGTATATCATCAACCGTTCCTACCGTATGCAAACCCTGCATTCTACTGTATAGGGACTTCGGAACCCTTACAGGAAGCCTAAACCCGAAACCCGTAAAGGAACCCTAAATCCTAAACCCTTAACGGAACCCTTAAAGGGTACCGAGGTCCCTGTTGGTCTGCTAAACCCATCAGTCCCCGGGCGCAGGTTGCGAATGAGATGTCTAAGCCCCAAAGCTTTAATCCCAACCCCTAAACCCTTAAGCCCTGAAATGTTTAGAAGTTGTGCATGACCCCAAAGTTTGAACCCCAAAGCCCCGATGCGTTTACCTAGGTAGGCCTTTGGGACATTTTATATTAGCCAAATAGGACCCTATTTACGAATATTTTCAGAGGCTTTAAAGGGCCAACCTAGTTACAGGTTGTGAACGAGATGTATGGCGGCCTTGAGTTCGGCAAGATCTGGGGCACGCAGATTGCCAGCCAGGCGCTGGCTTCCTTCTTGATGCTTGCAACGCATGGCTTTTTTAGACCCTAAATCGTTTATGGTTTTAGGGTTTTAGGGTTTAGAGGGCTTTAAGGTGTAATGAAGGTTTAGGGTTTTAAGGTTTAATTAAGGTTTAGGGTTTAGTTGTTGTTGTTTCGGGTTTAGGGTTCAGTAGGATTTGGTTGAGCGTCGGAGGGAGCCTTACAGGTTCCTCTAAGACTTCAGACTTTACCTGTAGTCTCCATTGTAGTTCCTTTTTTGGTTTAACCAATTTTATATTAAGAATCCAAAAAGGCAACCCCCAAAAAGGAACTACAATGGAGACTACAGGTAGTCTGGTTTCGGGTGTGGGGTTTCAGGTTCAGTAGGGGTTAGGGTTTAAGTGTCGGTGCTTTTGGGGGGATAGATGCCTGCATTGCACTTCACAAAGCCAGCTCTTTATCTTGAGGTCTGGTGGTTGTTCTTCCTCCTCTGAAGGACCCCTTTCAAGGAACCCTGGTAAAATTGCCCAAAGCCCTAAGCCCTAAACCGCTATTGCTGGCATGGGCCTGGTCTTGGTCGTGAAGTGCTGGCTCCAGTTGCAAAGCTTCGAATGGCGATTAAGGAACTTAAACGAAGTTACAATCCTTACAATAAAAAACTATATATCACCGGTTGCGGTATCTTAAATTATAAGTTCCTTAACCGCAACCCAGCATTCCGGACTTGAAGGTTTAAAGATTCAACGAAACACCCTTGCATGCCGCACCCCAAAACGACGGCGAAGCTCAAAGTCTGAATCCTACATGCAAGATGGATGACTGGATATTGGCCCGCATTACCGAAACCCCTTTTCAAACCCTACACCCGGAACCCTGAAACTCTAAACCCTATGATTTTCAATTTTCAACAGCACGTTCTCTATGTTTCAAAGGCCTGAACCCACAAATCCTGAACATCCGTGAATCGTGTACCCAGGATCGGCTTCCAGCTTCTACCGACCTTCTATCGCCGCGCGGCTGGGGGGGCGACGCACTGCGACGGAGCCGGCTGCTTCCGGGTGCGGTGATCTTGCAGGGCTTAGCGTTCAGTGCTCTGGGCTTGTAGGGCTCTGAGGCTACTCTTCGGGAATTTTATGTAAGGGTCTATAGAAGAAGGTCAAGCCTTGGCCCAGCTTTATATACTAATACTTGAAGTTAACGGTTTAGGACCCGTTTTCCTCCAATCTGGATTTATAGGGCTCTCCTGCACGGGGTCCTTAATGTGCGATCCCTATATAGATCCTCAAAAACGTCGGTTAAGTTATTTGGGATAAAAGTAGGGTTCATGGTTTCTGCGTTGGGATGTTGGGTCTATGGGCCCTGAACCCTAAACCCCAAAACGCTACAGGAGTGAGCTTCTTTAAACAGATGGAAGGCTTCGGTGACACCGCATATAGTTCTCGTTGGTTAAGGTAACCCTACGGGTCCATGTCCCGACATAGTATATGCTGAAATTACCTATATAAGGGGATTACTTGAAGGCCGAAGCATATACTATATAGATCTATATATAGGTACATGGACCCTCTGGGTAAGTTGGTATACTGCCCCTGACATCTCTACTTGAAGGCTCCACTAAACAGTGCCAGCAAGAACGAAACTGAAGCCTTGTTAGGGTTTAGGGTTTAGGGGCAAGGGACAACCAACCTGTGATTGAAATCAGGAAACAGGACAGTTGAGCAAATCAGAAGCATCAATTCGCCATTCAGGAACCCCTGCTGTAATGTATAGGGGCTGCTCAATCAGTAGTAGAAGGTAGTACTATTACCTTGGGTGCTTTTTACATTGATATTATGCTATTCTGCAGAGCCCTATATTACAACCTTAAACCGCAATCCCTAAACCCTACACCTTAACCTTTAAACCCTAAACCCTGAATCCCAAACCTTAAGCCCTAAACCTTAAACTTCAAACCCTAAACCTTAAACTTTAAACCCGAAACCCTGAATCCCCAACCTTAAGCCCTAAACCTTAAACTTCAAACCCTGAACCTTATATAAACCTGAAGCCCTAAACCCGAAGCGTGCAGATGTCTTTCCTCTTGCTGGCGATGCTCAATGCTGTCGGTCTGGGGTCTTCGCTGCTGCTCCAGGCTCACTCGGGTTTAGGGGTTAAGGGTTACCTGTAGTCTCCATTGTAGTTCCTTTTCTTGGTTTAACCAAGTATATATTACGAATCCTAAAAGGTGACCCCCAAAATGGAACTACAATGGAGACAACAGGTAGGGTTCAATTAGGGTTCAGGGTTTTGGGCACAGGGCAGGCATCGGCTTCAGTGTTCAGGGTTTGGGATTCAGGGGCCCGATAGTTAGACTTAGCGGTGCCTGGCAGCAGAAGGAAAGATATCGTTTGACCACCACCACTGCAGCCTAGAGAACAACTCCTACTGCTTCCGGAGCTTGGTCTTTTGATCAACGGGGAAAAGGAGGGACCCTTAATGGGGACCCCTACCCTATAATGGGCTATATAATGGGTATATACTAGCTATATTAAGGGTATAGACCTAGGGGTCCTTATCAAGGGTCCCTCCTTTTACCCTTGGATTTGAGATGCATGCAAGACTAGTCGCCCCCATGTGTTCGCCTGCTCTACAACTGCGGTCGTCAAATCGAGTCGCTCATGGATCCCTCTTGTTTTTAGGAGGCGGCATAGGGTGTAAGCGGGGTTCAGCGGTGTAGGTTGTGCATGATGATGCCGTACAGTCATAGCTTTCAACCATCCACTGAGCTTGAACCATGATCACACGAATCTTTCGGATAAGCCCAAAATCGCTTCCAAGCCACAGTCTCCTCAGATAGTCTACAGTTTAAAGCTGACGACCCGTAAACCCAAAGATGGTGATCCAGACGTGAGAGAAACGTGGCTTGCGAGCCTCAGTATCTCCCTACAGTCTCCATTGTAGTTCCTTTTTCTGGTAAAGCAACTCTTATGGGTGGGAACCTACAATACGAAATTGGCTGGCCGAACCCATAGCTATGTTATACTACATTATGGTACGTGATCTTATGTTGTGCTATACCGTATGATATGTCATTGGCTCTGCAGCTGCAGATCCGGAACGCGGGCTCTATGCCGCTGGCCCGACTGAGCGCCTGAGGTACCTTTCAGCTGCCTGGGCGTGTACTTGCGGGCTTCAATAAAATGTAGTATGGTTTAGTATAAGAAAGTATATTACAATGAACATAGTTATATTGTATGGTACAGCACAGTATAGTAAGTATGCTGTAGTAAAGAACAGAATATTTTGCCCGTTCGTGGTGGTTAGAACTCTTGTGGTGGTTAGAAATCGTGCGCGCCGTAAACCCTACAATCAGCAAGCACGGTTTAGGGTTTAGGGTTTAGGGTTTTGGGTTTTGGGTTTTGGGCCCTTTGAAAGCACCTGGACGTTGAACTTAGCAGGGCACCTTCCACCGATGTCCCTGAAGATGACACGTGTATGCGCTGCCAGTAGTCTCGCTTAGTAATACTTTTTGGTATTGTCATTTGGAATACTGAGAACGGTTGTGCTTCTATGAAATAACTGTGATTAGGACTAAGGCCATTAAATTGTATAATCGAGAGTGCGGTGTTATTCTGGTGTTTATTGCTATGCTTGCGTTAGCTGAGCGTGTTGTAAATCCGGCTCATGCCCAATGGAGGCCAAAAGTGCTTCCGTCGGCCCCAGCGGATGTTCAAACGATCGAGGGAACGGCGTGGGCAGAGCTGGCTATCAATCAAGGCTATCGTATCGGCACATCTTACCCAGGGACGAAGCCCAATTAGGGTTTAGGTTTGCCTCAGGGTCCATGTACCCATATAGAGATACATGAGCCCCAAAGTACCTATATAGGGATTACATTAAGGCCAATGTATATACTATATGAGTACATGGACCCTTATAGGGTTTTAGGAGGAACAGCTAGAGCAGATGTTGGGCCAAGCTTTGGCGTCCGTTGGTAGTGTGTGTTGGATCAGGAAATACGTGTGGGGGTACTTCATCACATCTTAATTGCGCCGCCTGTTCGTAGCTGTGCAATTGCTCATGCCAGTACTCCCAATCTGCGCGCCTTGCCTTTTCGGCATCTAGCTGGTTCGCGGCAACTGGACTCCAGAACTGGAAAACCTTCAACTCCAAACCCTGAACACCGAACCCTAAACCCTACTTCCCAGAAGTGCCTCCATGCACCTGTGGCTTCCCAGCGTTCATATCCTTGTAGTTCCAAGACCTGAAGCTTGTCGAAACGGACTAGAGCTGACCATGATGTCAGCGTAGATCCTAACACAATGAGAAACGGTGCCTGAAGCATGCCATTAGGACTATATAGGACCCTAAACCCTAAACCCTAGAGAGCCACGACAGCCGAGCCGGCGGTTCGCTATGCTCGTCGCAACTAGTTGCCATCTGTGCTTTCCCTACTACGTGTACACATCTAGCTATCTATCCGTGCAAATGATAGCACAAAGATGTTCGTATGTGTGAGAAGATGCGTGGATCTACAACAAGATTTTGTGTTTTGATAGATACAGACGTGATATAGATGTAGATGTAGAGTTGCAGAGATAAAGAAAGAGCTAGGTATGTGAAATAAAGAAAATGATTCCGATATAGAGTTCGTACTGCTGCATTGTTGGCTTTTCAGCCCAGGACATCCAGCCTAGACTTTTGCGGTCATCTCTTAATTATCCATTCCAGTGTCGGCACTGCCCTGCTGCATGCACCTGCAGGAAAAATCCGAATGGGCCATCTGCAAACACTGAGAGTGGTTGCGCAGCGTCAGAAACCCTTAAACCGCGAACCCTATTTTTCTATAGCAAGGCCTCTAGTTTCACCCGAAGAGAACCAGTTTGAAGCTCTGAATCGCATAATCCTACCACAGCAAATTTAAGTCTTTCCTGCCGCTACAAGTCTGTTAGAGGTCTACTTGAGCCCTAGACTTTACAAGCCACCATAGGTCCACAAAAGTAGAGAAATTGCTGGGGCCACAGGGAATGCTTTGATCGCCGCCATGTGCGAGTTCTGAACTTCAACTTGATTTGTACATTCCCCTTTCTGGGATTGAATTTCGTGTTTAGGCAGGTAGCTGGTATGGCTTGGGATTCATGTTCCATGTTTATTGTCAGAAGTTATGCGTTCGTTGGACGGCTGTGGGCCCAAAACTCGAAACCCATCGAAACCCTAAACAATAAGCCCTAAAACCTAAGCCTAAACCCGAAACCATAAACCCTACACTAAAACGCCCTAAGAAGACTCTACGAAGCCGATTGCAGAGACCCAAGTGGCTGGCAGCTGATTTCAGTCTGTCATCGCGACGGAGATATCGAGTCAAGCTCTTCATTTATATATCAGTTTTGGAACGGGTGTGGCATCCAATGTTAGTAACTAGGCGGGCCTTTGGAGCATGTCTTCATGTTCCCTTATTGGGCCTAAGAGGGTCTGATGTACGAACATTGTTCAGATGCGTTCAAGGGAGTTAATGCTTGAAGCTCAGTCCGGTGCTTATGACTAGGAGTTGCCCGATTTTCAAGTTTTGGGACGCTGACTTGCTGTCTGCGTTTGGAGGCTCATTGGACAACTCCATGCCTGTTGTGCACATGTATGAATTAATGAATGTTTCTTCCGCCTTTTTCAGAGGTCACCCTGTACTCCCTGATCCTGTTACCGATACCTGCAAGCTTAGAAAGGCAAGCGTTTGTAACAGTTTCATCTAGCCTCCAAACGAGACTTGGCGTGTCCAGATTTCTGACAATGGGACTCAATGATAGCCCGATTCAAAAGGGCGAACATGTCGAATGTGAGGTTTAGTGGCTACACATATAAGTCATTCGTAAGCTGCCACTACTACTCCCGCTGCTGCTCCTCCGCGTACGCTTGCTACGACCACGACCACCTGTCTCAAATCAAGAGCCAATCGCCCCAAACAGCCAAAACTATGCTATTACTGGTGGACTTGAGACCCCGAAGCAGGCACTAGTGGCATACCTGGAGGACTAAACCCTAAACCTCCCCAAACTGTAATACTTGAAGCCCCAAGCCCGAAGCCTCCTCGAACTGCATTGTGGTGGACTTTAGACCCCGACGCAGTTGCTAGTCAGTACCAGTCGTTCAACCCCAAACCTCTAACTTCTAAACCATAAGCCCTAAACCCTAAACCTCTAATCCCTGAACCGTAGTGCTCGTGGACTGTAGTACTCGTGGACGTATACCGCAAGGTAGTCACCAGTCTGAAAGCAGGTGACGTTCTGGAGACTATCGTGGAGACTCTCGAGGCCTACAAAGTGTAAAGCCCTTTCTGGTGTGTATATATACACACATATATATATATATATATGTGTATGTATGTAGTAATGATAATATCAAAGATAATAATGACCGTATGAGAAATAGTCGTAGTAATTATGATGACAATAGGAATAGCAACAATAATGGTAATCATAAACATGATAGTAAAACTCAAAATCATGATCGTAGTGATACTATTATAATGCTCATAACTGTCTTTATATATATATATATATTTATATTTATATATATATATATATATATATATGTACCTATGCATTATTATATACATATAGATACACATACATATGTCTATGTGTTGTTCTAGTAACTAATGAGTTGTTTGTGTGTTCAGTTATTGTGCGGCTTGTTCATAACGGTATGTGTATCGATAGACATGTAGATAGATAGATAGTGTTCAAAGGGTGTAGAGGATAGGCCTATAGAGGATGTAGGGTTCATGGGGCGCTGGGGGTGCAGGGTTTGAAGTATAGGCTTTATCAGCTTTCCGGCTTTAGGGTTTCACAGGGTTGATAAGGCTTATCGGGCTTATGGGTTATTCGTATGGGGTTTGTAGGGTTTGGATTCTTTTAAGTATCCTAAACCCTAATTAGGGTTTAGGGTTTAGAGACTTTTAAGGTGGTTTAGGGTGAGACTAGTTCCGGGCTTTGGGCTTGAAGGCGACAGCCGTCGGAGCACCGGGTTCTGTGGAGCATATCGTGTTGACGTGCAGGGCTTCTAGCATTTAGGGTGGATTTGCTTTCAGGTGGGGTGTATGGGGTTTAGGAGTTACCGGGTTTCCTTTTAGGAATACGGCTTTCAGTCTTGCACCTGTTGAAGATGCCGCTGCAGTCTGTGCAAGACAAGCTTTGGGGATGAGCTTGGTGGTTTAGGCTTTGGAGCAGTATAGAAGCCCAAATAGTTAGGTCATTAAGAGAGTATATAGTGCACACCCAAAAACCCTAATCGTATCTTTCAGGCCCTCATGATAACCATGCTCCTTGACGGAACGGCCGTTGTCACATGAGTTGTTATTAGTTACCACCTGCTTAGCCGGACAAGCAATTCCCAAACCGCCCTAACCCCCGAAACATAAAGCTTTAGAGTGGATTTGCTGGAAAAAGGAGCCTAACAAAAACAAAGCGTCATACGGCCCTAAACCCTAAACCACAAGCCACCCTTGACCCCAAAACCCCTCAGAGCCCTGAGCCTCCAACCGTCACCAGGGAACGGGAGAAGATGAAGGAGCCGACAAAAAGTGCCTGGCGCCCATGAGAAGTAAGGGCCAAGTACTTACTAAGTGAGTACTTAAGTTCCCAAACCTTTGTATTCATGGCGATAGGGTAACGGTCATAAGTTTGGGCATCAGGATTTCAGAGTTGAAGCGAAAGGTGTGTCGCTGTCAGTTGCGGTAGACCCCAGGAACTCAGCCCTTGAAATCATGCTACAACTACAAGAAGGGACCCGACTCTCAACCTCCAGCACTTCCATCACCCCATATGGGAGTTTCCGAAAATAGGGGTACCTTATCTTGGGGGTCCTTATAATAAGGATCCTACTATTTAGGGTACCATCTTAGGGTCCCCTATTTTCGGAAACTCCATATTGCAGAACCCTGCATGCCACAGCCCTGCAAATAATAGGTCGTGCGACACGTTCCCCCCGAACAGACGAACCCTCAACCCTACACGCGTCTAAAGCTCCAACTCCCATGCAAAGGCAGCAAGAACGCACAATTATTCATGTTTTTATAAATGTATAGACGGACATACTATACATAGATAGATAGATGGGAGTTTCCGACAATAGGGGGCCCGCATACAGTACCCTAAATAGT